TAAATAATATATATATATATATATTTATACACACACACACACACACACACTGAATTCAGTACAGCTAATTGAATATATATATATATTGAATATATGTATGTGTGTATGTATGTATGTATGAATGATGTGTCTGCCATGAAGCGTAAATGAGAACTCGAGAGCGTTGGCGGAAGTCAGTGTTGTTCTGCCCAAAGACCCAGCAAAGCAGAAAGATTGACCTACTTTTATCAAATCTAAAGAGATTGCCCTTTAAAGCTCTCCTTGGGTAGATATTAAGCCAGGTTTCTTCACCCTCCTGCCGACTCTTGTCTTCCCGTCTCGTCTCGTCTCGTCTCGTCTAGTATGAGGCTTTCTCTGCTTTTAATCTCCACCTCTGCCTGAGGCTAAATCAGAAAATGTGCCCCTCTGATTTTCTCTGTGTAGAGCGTAGCTGATGCACCGGGGCAGAGGGCATCTTTGCAAGTCAGCCAATTGTGGGTACCAACTTAGGGATTTTCTGCATTGTTACTGAACTGGATTTCTTTTTGGGTTTTAAATGCACCACAGAAATTGAAACACTTGCAAACACTCATTCAGGCCTATCCAGACTCTTTAGCATCCTGGGTGTAAAATGGGAATATTCAGGAAATTAAGGAACACCTTTCTGGACCAAAGATTCACCTACTACAGCATCATTGTTGCTATCTAGGAACAAAAGAAGGGTCCCGCTTGCCTTCTCAGCAGCTGGCATTGGAAGGCACATAAAGACCTAGTCTAATGATTTAGAAGGCTCCTTTCCTAATCTGGTGCCCTCCAGATGGGTTAGACATATGTTTTTATCATCCCCAGTCAGAGTAGGCAGTGGAGTTTGTCCAATATTTATGGCAAAATATGATGCAAACAGTGAGAAAGGGAAAGAGACGTGGAATTGGGGAATCAACAGTGACAGCTTGGGGCATAATGATCTCTGTGCAAATCACATTGTAAGATGATAAATTGTTAGGCTTCTAGAATTGTATAAACAAATAAATGGAGTTCTTGGTGGTCTCTGAGCTTGTTTATTTGCTTACAGATGTTTCATTACCCAACTAGGTAACATCATCAGAGCACCAAGGACTCCACAATTCAACCCTGAGCTGCATATATTCTTTTCTATTGGAGTCAAATAAATGTTAATCTGTTGTCAACTCTAGGTTTCATATTCAAATATGGAGATCTGATCTTCCAGTACTTGATGTATGAATCCTTTGCTATCTTTTGAGCCAACTGTATACTGACCACCAGATAGATCCTGACCTTATAGCTTGCAACTAGAACAACTTAAATGTTTAAAGGACAGTTGAATGCTGCTTTAACAAGCAACAATCTCACTGGAGCTGGCTCAGACTTGGGTTGAATGAGGTCCTCAAGTTTTTTTACAATTGTTCTGCACAGCATTGGGTTGCCCTTGGATAAACCCAGCTTCATACAGATGATTGCAGTCATTGCCTGAAGTCATTGGAGTAAAACAACCAAAGGAGGTAATTGGAGAGTAACTCAAACGTTGGTTTTGGAGATGATGATTATATGAATGTCATACAGAGTTGTGGATAACATGCCAAAGTATTCTGATGTAAGGCACAGTGCAGGAGCCAAGAAGTCAGCATGAATCTTTCATCATGGAACAAGATGCATTCCTTGTATTTTGAATAATATTCTTGATCTCTACTTCTTGTAAGGATGCTGCAACAGACATTCTTTGCTGGGGATCCAGCCAAGGAAATTGTAGGTGAGAGAGGAAAATCCCAAAGGGAAACTCCAAATCTGTATGAGCTAAATATTAAAATGATGCTGTCAAGTCTTTCAGATTCTGAGGAAGTAAAACTGGACCAAATTGTGTATGTTTTGTATAGGAACTTGGGACATTGGCTTGTCCTGAATTACATCATGTAGTCCATTTAAGTAAGCATATAAACTACAGCCTTAGAGCAAAGCATGTACCTAAAAAAGTTTGGGTCTCTTCCCTGGAATCTTTTCCAAGATGGCTGCCAAACTATAATCAAAAGGGAAAATAGGTGAATGTTCCCAATGTATTTAATATTTAAAATAAAAATTAATTTTCTGTCCTGATCCAATCTACTTTTTGGGGCACAGCCCTTGACACACCACTCAA